CAGTGCTGAACACAGCCAACAGCGGCTCTGCCAATGGCTAGTGATAAGGGGCAACAGTATCAGGCACAAGATGCCAATTTAGAAACACCAGAGACAAAAAGGACTGGACAGCTTGACCGAAACTGACAAAAGACAATGAAAATAGAGATAGTGGCAAAACAAGCACTAGGTAATCTCATACTGCCACCATGAGGAAAGACACAGGAACACTGTTACGGTATCAACACCGTTGCTGGAGTGTGGAGTGGCGATTTCAGTGCCATCTAAGAACCTGCACTCCAACTCCCAGGTATTAGGTGAGATGCGGACAACGCCATCTGTTGGCGGTGGTGTGGCGTCGGTGAAAAGCTCCTGTTTCATACCTCAATTAGAAGGCGAGGTCAATGATGATGACCTCTGGTGGGTGGCGTAACGATAGCAATGCCATCTAGGTTGTGAAAACGATTCAAATTTCAATTTCTCGGTGGAAGGGTGTTATCCTAAGGTCACCCAGTATACGGTCTGTCTAGCTAATGACGTTTTATGTTCACAGAGGTGACGTAAGGAGGCGATTGCGCTGAGGAGAGCAGTTCACTTTTGGCCAGTCCAGAACTCTTGACTTGGTCCTGTGAGAGGACGAAGTGGCTGCCGTCGATAGTAGCAGTGTGTTAGCTGCTGGATTTATGTAGTGTTGTATGGACCGACATACCCGGAAATTGGTCAAAAAGAGTTACAAAACGACAGTAGTGCGTCTGTTGAGAAGTGCTACTAGTGTGTTGCTAGAAACTTCTGCCAGGGTGTTAGCTACCACTGTACATGATTATTTGAGACCCCCCCCCCCCAAGGATCAAGAAGAGGTTATAAGACACGTTAACAGAAAGAACCCGGTTACTGGCCCAAGCTGGCCGTAACAAACACCAACAAACCAGCCATCTGCTCACCATCCAAATGGCAACACACACAAACACGCACGCACGCACCTTGGAGTGCCTGGTAGCCTGGTGGATAGCGCACAGGACTCGTAATTCTGTGGCGCGGGTTCGATTCCCGCACCCGGCAGAAACAAATGGGCAAAGTTTTTTTTCACCCTGAATGCCCCTGTTACCTAGCAGGTAATAGGTACCTGGGAGATAGTCAGCTGTCACGGGCTGCTTCCTGGGGTGTGGGTGTGTGTGGTGTGGGGAAAAAAAATAGTAACAGTTGATTGACAGTTGAGAGGCAGGCCGAAAGAGCAAAGCTCAACCCCCGCAAACACAACTAGGTGAGTACACCCCCCCCCCCCAAAAAAAAAAAAAAATCAGATGCATGGAGCAGAGGAAGTTTAACCAGCATCATTGAGTCAATCTGCTGAAAGAGGCAGAGCCCCAGAAAAAGGCCCAAGTTCAGACACCAGGTTAGAAGTGCCGGAAACCAAGGCTGGGCTGGCCTCAAAGGACCCAGAAAGATCACCTTCCCTGAATGTGACTAGAATGGACAAAACCCAGAGCAACAACTGAACTCGGGGGGGAAAAAGGTAAATGCACCTCCACTTCAACTAGTCCATTCAAAAGGCATCCACTCTGAGAGCATCATGATTGGGGAATGGAGCCACATAGGAGATAAGGTGCCAGCTCCACTTTGGGGCGACTGAACATCTTGCATATCTGTAAGAACATTGTATATTCAGCTGTGAGAACATTGCACACACTCTGCACATGAAATGTGTAGAGAATGAAATCCCAAGAAAATAGAAGCTGAACTACTCAGTTTCCAGCTTCACAGGGTGAAGGACTGAAGCTTGGGCAGTGCGCCACTAATTACCTATGTGTAATTACTTAAGTGTAGTTACAGGATGAGAGCTATGCTCGTGGTGTCCCGTCTTCCTAGTACTCTGTCATACAATGCTTTGAAACTATTGACAGTTTTGGCCTCCACCACCACCTCACTTTCTTGTTCCAACCATCTACCACTCTGTTTGCAAAAGAAAACTTTCTAAAAAAATTTTGACACCTTTGTTTCCTTAACTCGAATCTGTATCCTCTTGTTCGTGAAGTTGCTGGTTTCAGGAATTCCTGAAACACTGCAGAGCAGTTGTAGTGAAACTGGAGCACAAGAGTCCAGAGGAAGTTGAATCCTCCTTAGGGCATGCTACATAGCCACAAACTTGTGCACCATATGCTGCGCCAGAGGAGTAGGCCCAACCACTGGCCCTGGGCAGCTTAGTGGTCACATCCTTATGGAGCTGCACAGAAAGCCCCTCCATGAGGACACAAACCTACAAGACCACTGCTAAGTGCAAACATTCCTTGTAATCATTCACAGTAAGAACCCCAGACAGCTCAAGCAGTTACACATGCAGCTGCCACTTACCCACATCCCTGGGGAGTGCCAGAGCAACAGGCAGTCCCCTTGAGCAGAACCCAAGACCACCTAAAAAATGAAACACACCTCCCTCCAATAAAGCGTACGGGTCTGACAGAACCCTTAGCAAGCCTCCAAGAAAAAGAGGGGGATGCCAGCCAGCCAGGATGAATTCGAAACCTTCATGTTACTGCCAATAAACCAAGACGAGCCTGTACTTCCAAGAGTATCTATCAATGAAAAGCGGTCCGAATTCCACAGTAGATACTGAAAGAAATCTGTGCAAGCCACCAAAGAGGAAATGCTTGAAGGTGGAAACCTCTGAAAATACAAAGATTCTGAGGCACTGAATGGGACCCATAAACGAACCCATGGAAAAGCAGCCAAATGATCGTATTCATACAAAGGAGACTATGAAAATTTAACCCCTTGAAGCAAAAGACTCTATGGAGAGGGAACCAAGGTCCAAAAAGGGTTGGGTGGCAACCCTTGGACACAACTTGAGCTTCCCTTCAGCTCAAGAAGCCTGTCATGAAGGCTCTTGGGTAGGGCATATTCCTCATTTAACACCTGGGACAGAAATGTGTTCACCAAATGAGAAGGCTTGGACCAAGGGTGGGTCAGTTGTGAAGATGATTGCCCTGAAACCCCAGCAAGACTAGAAGTTTCAATTGCCTGAGCTGTCGATGCTGCTACCCCTGAAAAAGGCCATGGTACAAGCAGAACCAAATCCAGCCCTGACCTCTGAACCCTCAGACATTTTGGAGTTATAACCAAGGGGGGGGGGGGGAGAGGGTGAAGGGGGTGAAGACCAGAAACAGGGTGAACCAAACCCACAGGGAAAGGGAGAGGTGAATGCAGACAACGTTGGCTTCTCCCAGGATCCAACTTTCGAGCATCCAACTGATCACTATGCTGTGAATGCCTAACTCTAGCAAACTTAGCTTTGAAAGTAGCAGCTGCCTGAAAAGCTTCTGCATTGGAAGCTGAATCAGACAAGGCTGAGACCCAGAAGAAATAAACCTTGCAGGACTCTTGGGTTGTAGGTACCACCAACCCAACAGTCAGTATGGAAGAGGCAGAGAGAATAACCATCATCTGGTGCCAAAGACAATGAACACCCTTCAAACTCACGCATGGTGAGTGCAAGCTCGACAGGCCGAAACAGCCACTCCGAAGACCATCAAGGGTATTACCAGGGCCTGAATGTAGCCAGCCAACTAGAGCACCCAGGCACTGAAGCCACTCGCCAGAGCGAGCCACCAAATGCGGCCACAATAGCTTGGCTACAACTGGCAGTACCATGTCGTTTAAACAAACACACGAACCTTAGCCCATCCAAACATAACCAACTGAATGCCCCCTTGCCAAGGGCCCAAGCAGAGGAATCAAAGACTTGTGAATAGCCCTAATGAAGGCTCTTCACCCCAGTGGCCTGGCTGCTTAGAGGCAAACTCCCAAACACACCAGAGAAGATACCAGTGCAGGGGCAATGCTAGTGGGCACCCTGGGAAGGGACCCAGGGCACACACACCTGTAGCACAACAAAGTCAAGCCCATGCAATAAGCCAGTTAGAAAACACACATACTTGAAGCAAAAACTGCAATATAGAATATGTACAAAGCAAATGGATTCCACTGGAGCAAGCCCATGGATAGCTAGCACTTAGCTTGAAGCAGCGGGGCTTGACAAGTTTGAATGACCCGGAACAGTAGCGCCCTGTAGGGCATCAGCAAAAGAACCGAGAGAAAAGATGTCTGTATGTGGAAACTGGGCTGCCTGGTTCTGTCATTCTATACTATTGGCTTCATAATGATTTTGAATGTTTCTCTTGTGTTGTTTGAATTGTTTGCTGGTTTTGAAGCCTTGGTCTTTGTTAACCCTCCAGTTGACTGTAGAGCTTTCTGACTTTCTGGATGCTTTCCCGGTATAGTAGCGAATTGTCACTTGCTCTGCACTTCTGAGAGGTGCACCAGGTTTCTGGTCCCTGGCAGGTCAAACAGTGTCTGAAGTGACGCAGTTGCATAGAGCAATCTTAGCAACATTGCTTCAAGGAGCCACCAGGGGGCTACCTCCAGAAAATGCTGGATAACGTCTTGAGGCATTGTGGCGACGAAGCTTGGGGAAACTCGTCACAATGAGTTTCCAGTGCAGTCCAGAAATAGAGCATTGAGTATAATGACAAGCTTCTTTCTGGCAGCAACTTGGTAGCTCTCCGTCCGTGCCCAGTTCCTTCTTTCAGTCTACTGCCACCAGGCAGTAGACTGGGGAGATGGTTTGTGTTTTTTAGCTTAGAATATTGTTTTAATAGTCAAGTACATTAATTGCTAAACATTTCTCCAAAGGTTAAGTGTTTTGTGACTCCTATTTATCACTGGGTTGATCTTTGATTACCATGTGTTACTTTATAGAGGGGACAAGGAAGGCCTACCAAGGTGTGACAATCAGTGGGTCAAGATGGTTGCAGGTGTCCTGGCATGTTCAGTTGGTTCAATATATGCAAGTGTGTGTAAGCTCAGGAGTTACTGATGCCACCCTGAAAGAGACATTTCATTATACTCTATGCCTACTTGTAATCGTAACAAGTCTATAATTATACATTGTTCAATAGGAGGAGTAAACCAAAGCTTGAGGAAAACATTTCAATGTCACTACACTCAAAAACTGTTTTCTTTTCCAGGATTGCTCGAGTTGGCAAATGCATATTGCGAAGAAGCTTTAAAACACCATTGTGAGCGTATAATTCGTCATGGCATTACAACTGAGAATGCTGCAATGCTTTATGCTGTTGCCATAAAGTATGAAGCTACTGTAAGTAGCATTTAATTTCAGCATTAACATTTAATTTCATTTCATTATATGCAAAATCGATATACAGGTATTATTAAAGAGTTTTTCCTTTAGTTGGTTATAATTCAGTCATATTAGTAAATAGAAATATTCAGCAATTGGTATTTAGTTGAATTTTTTCAATTTAAAATGTGACCCATTTTGTATTCTATAGAAATGTCTTAAGATTTATGCTTCGCATCCTCCATAGGTGCAGGGTCCTTCACCCTCGTGTGTTTGACCGGTGTAGAATGGAACGACGATCCTGTCTGAGCGTTCTACTCGTAACACTTCTTATAGTGTGGTGCCTTTATTATGTGCTTGTGCATTTAAATTTAGATGCTTACATTTGTCAATGTTGGCTTTTTTCTGCTGCCTTTTTTTTTATTAAGGAAATTAATGCTTTTGTTCTTGGTACTGTACTTTGTTTCTTCCTGTTGCTCATAAAGGGGCAGTTTATGCTTTGCTCTTGGTTGTTCACCTGGTTCCTCATCCGATTTTTGCAACTCCAAAATGGACTAGGATTGAGGCCTTCCTGGCTCTAGAGGGACTGATTTTTGCAGATGGACCTGAAAGGCAGTATCACGTATTCTAAGAGTTTTTCTGATTTTTACCCCAGATCTAGGTTGGGAAGTGATTTGGGAATGTTTCCATGAATGGCCCCTTCTTTTTTGAGTGGGTGCTGTGGGGAGGGGGGGGGGGGGGAATTTTGAGGCAGTGATTGTGTAGGATGCACTGGTACCCAGTGTGAAGAATTTGCCGTATTCACATTCTCAGTTGCAGCATAATGCTTTCGTGCTATACCTTGGGGTTTGCTTCATCATGCCAGTTGAAGGCCCTGTCATTCACTCCTTAACAGTTTCACAATCTTGTCAGTTGCCATGTCGCACTAGACAGGACTTACCAGTTGTCTAAACTTCTTTTTATCTAAACTAGATTCTGCTCTTTATAATTCAGTTCTTCTGTCACTACCTGGATGCAGTATCAAGTCCCCACTTCTTCCTTGCTGGCTGGTAATCCACTCTTTCTGGGGGGGGGGGGGGGAGCCCAGTTGGCTTCCTGAAGCTAGCTTACTGATTAAGTGCCATATTACTTGGCCATCAGTTGCAGAGTTCTTGTTGCCTACCTGCCCCCCCCCACCCTCTCACAGAGGGGCAGGGAGCAATGGTACATAAATACTTTATATTTAAAATTTAACATTTCTGCCATCAACCGGGAAAGGCATCCAGATAGGTAGGGATCTCAAAACAAACCACTGAATGGTTTAATACAAGACACAAAACCACAATGTAAAAATACTCGCCTAAAGAAAACAGATAACCAAAACTTCGTCAAACCAGCCCCCCACCCCTACTCGTTACCTCCACCTCCCCTTTCCCTCACTTGGGGGAGGAGCGAGCTTTAATTCTTGATTGATGTTTGTGCTTGGCCTTGAGTTTAGTGTACTGGAGCTGCATCAGCTCTGGGTTAATTTCTGTATGTGCTCTGTAAGTACTTCCCTTGCGCAGTCAGTTTTCTTCCTTGGGGCATTCGGGAAAACACGTCCATCAGGGGGCTTCCTCACTTGTGGTGGTCCTTGCCCTTAGGGTAGGCCAGGGGTCTTGGGCTTTCCAATTTGCCCTTGGTTAGGGGGGTGTCTTTTGCTGGCACTGGCATTACGGGCACTGCCAGCTCTTCAGCTAGTGATGGCACGCCTACATTTCTCCCAGGCTACTTATTTGTTGCTGTTGGGTCAAGGGAGGTTTTATGCTTCACTCCTTGTTTGCCGGCACTTTGTTGCTTCTGCTGGGGGAGTTCTGCATTTTTCCTTAAGTGTGCTAAGGTGTGTTCAGTGGAACTTCCTTGCTACCCTCTGGGCTTTCCAGTGGTTTCTTGTGGTCTGGTTGCCTGGACCAACAGGGTTTACCAGCATAGGTGGCCCCCAATGCCTGGGCTTCCTGTAAGGTTCATTCACCCTACAGGCCCTGGAGAACCCCCGCAGGCTCGATTATACAATGGATACCTTTTCCAAGCCTGCTCTTGCCCTGTGCGAATTTGAGGGTTGTTCATCACCCGTGTCTCGAGGCTGCTTGTTGGGTCGGTGATACCTACAAGTTGGTGTATACCTACAAGATGCACAGTCGGTGAAACGGGACTGTGCGGATCTTCGGGCCATTCTGGACTAGTCTCATTTGATCTGGTTGATTCCTTGCACCCCTTCTTTCGATTGATTGTATTGTCCCAGGTCCGGCGCATTCTCAAGCTGGGTGTTTGGATGCTTTCCCTGGACCTCAAGGACACTAATTGGCATGTCCCTGTTCATCTAGGGTTCATGGATTGGTTAGGTTTCATTATGGGGCAACAGGCATACTACTTTTAAGCTCTTTCGTTTGGGCCAAATCTGACAACTTGCATTTTTACGCATCGGACACGAGTCATGGTAGCCTGTCTTCATGTGCTTGGTTTTAGGGTCTTGGCCTACCTCAACGACTGGTTGGTGTGGGCTCCCAGCCAGTCTGCTCGTCTGCTAGCCAGGTATCTGGTTCTTTCTCTGCTCACTAATTTAGATTCCTGGTGAGCTAGAGGAAGTCCCAGGATGGGCCTAGTTTGAGATTCTCAGATGGCATCGCTTTTCCTTTAAACTGTGGCCTTGCTCCAGCTGCAGCCTTGCTGTCAGCTGCTGCTGAAAGGGACCTGGGTGACTCAGCAGTTGCTCAAGCAGCTGTGCGGGAGTCTAAATTTTGCCCTTATGGTTTACCCGTTGGGCAGGGTTTGGCTCCAGAGGCTGTTCTGGTATCTTTCGAGCAGCCTCTTTTGCTACTCTCGCAATTGCTGGGTTCAGCCCCTTGTGTCCTTTTGCCAGTTGGTATGTCACCGGCTTCCTCTAAGGGTTTTTTGTGGTTCGGTGGCATGGCACCTTCCTCCTCCCTCGCCCGATGTTATCACGGATGCCTCGGCAGTAGGCTGGGACTTTGTGACCAGTGCTCATCAGTCTGGCCTAGATTGTTGGCAGCCGTTCCTTTGTTGGGTACATTGGGGAATTTTGCGGCAGTGACCAGTGCTGCAGTAGGTTCAGATTCCTCAGGGCTCAATGATCTGACTCCATTCAAACTGTTCCCCTGTGGTTCATTGTCTCAACTGGGATAGGGGGAGGTCTCTTCAGTCCGTTCTTCATTGGAACTGGTCTCTTCTGCTGAAATCTTGGGGTTTGGCTTTGCGCTGTTCACATTCAGGGAGTGTCCAGTGTCCTGGATGACGGTCTGTCTTGTTTCATTTTCCTTTCCAGAGTGAACCGTTGATGAAGATTCCTTTCTTTGGCTTTGCCAGATGGACAGGCACCCGGATGTGAACCTCTTCTTCTCGGCTTGGTCTCGGTGTCTGCCTCTTTGTGGCGCTGTTCTCTGACTGCGAGGCCTTGCAGTTGACACTTTTCAGCAGGACTGGTTGAAGTGGGTTTGACCCCTTTACCTCTTTTTCCCCAGTCCAGCTGTTGTTCTAGGTTCTGGCACGTCTGAAGTCTTAAAGGAGGAGTGTGCTTCTTCCTTGGTGGCCGGCTCAGCCTTGTTGTCAGGCGCTGCTTTCACGGTGTCTGGGCCCCAGGTGGTTTTACGTGGCTCCGCCTTTATCAGAAGCTTCGGACAAGTGACATACCTCACTGGTTTGGCCTTCTCTTCCACCTTACACATTTGAACTCTCTATAGCATATTTCTGGGGGGAGCCCCGTCGGGTTCCCGGAGCTATCCAGGCTGAATGGATATGTATAACTTTCTGGCATTAGTCAATGCGTGGAGTTCTTGCCTACCGGGGACCACGAGCCAGAACCTGGCCCCCCCTAGAGAGGCACGAGGTGCAATGGCCTATAGAGACCCCCCTTATGATTGGGAGCATTCTATGTCTGCCATCGACCAGGACAGGCACCCAGAAAGGTAGGCGCCCCAAAACAAACCCCTATTCTGGTAAACTATTGTGACCGAAGACCGAACAGGTGGACAGAACTCCCCAAACGAAAATTAGCCCTCATGACATCATCATGTCGCCGCGCCGCCGTCTGCGCAACCCCCCCCCACTCCCCGGGAGGGGGAAGGGGGGAGTCCCAGACCCCACCGTCGGCGACCCAACCATCAGTTCTCAGGCTGATGGGATCTGGTGCGGTCGTGCCTCTGGCTCCTGTTTGCAGTTGCAGTTCTGTTCCTGGTGGTGTGAGCTGTCCCTTCCGGTGGTGTGTGGGCCAGGAGTATTATTCCACGGTGCTCGGGCTGCATGCGCCTAGGGTTATCTTCCCTAGGTGCCCTGTAAGTACTGCCCTTGGGGCTTAGGGCTACCTTCCCTGGGTCGTCTTGGGGTCTACCTCCGCTGTGCCGTGTACTGCTCGGTACCTGGCCACCCTTGGGGTCAGCTGGGTTTTTTTCTTGCCCTTGTTTGTCTCTGGGTAGGGGGTAATTTTCGTCACTGGTAGGGGCGCGGGGTACTGCACAGCTAGTTTTCACCATTAACAGCGGCCAGCTCTGCCTGGGTACGTTGTCCTCTTGCGGGGTTTTTCTTTTGTTTTTGCCTGGTGGGGGGGTCTGCCTGTTTGGTCCCCATCGCTGTTCTTGGGGTTTGTCTCCAGATTGTCTACTTGGTGGTACTCCCCGCTTGGCCCCCGTGAGTGTACACGTCCCGGGGGTTCAGCTATAGCAGTTTGTAGGTAGTTTTGGGTGCCAGTTCGCAGTACTCTGCCTGGGCTTCCCTTAGCGTGTTATCAAGGCTAAGGGCCCTGGAAAACCCCACGGGGGCTATGTGGTCCGATGGACGTGACCCCTGAGTCCCCCCTCGTGTCCTGCGAGTTTGACGGTTGCTCTGTCCCCTTGTCTCAGGGGGACACCCACCGGTTTTGCCTCCTCCATGCTGCCTGTTGGGTCGGTGATTGTTTTGACCCAGAGTCGTGCAACGTGTGTTGTCTGTACGTTCTCCAGTTCTCCCAGGCTACTGCGCCTGATATGCGGGTGAGGGCAGCTGAGGCG